TTACACGGTCGAAATATTTTTGATTTAAATTTAAGTTAAAGTGTTCTGCACAAAGTTACATTTTTATGTTTATCAAAAGTTGAATTAATTCATTTAGATATATGCCAGTGGTTAAATTTAACTAAATTTTCAATTTAATCATTGACAAATATAACGAAATAAAAATCTATTCTATAAAACATATGATAATGTATTGAGGGATAAAATATCTTAAAAATACATTTCATTCATTTATCATTCTCTGATTATAATCATATTTAGTAGTGCTGTAACAATATTATTGATAGATAATTAGAATGCAAATTTTAAATGTAAAATTATAAGCGAAACTAATCGATCTTTTATTGATACATTGATAAGAAATGAAACGAAAAAAAAAAAAAGAAGGAATAAATTTAAAAATTTTTCATCACTCAAATATATGCTTAAATCAAAAAATAAAAATTTAATAATAGAAATTTTGGACCAATATGATTATTTGTCCTATTTTTTTTTTTTTTTTTTTAACTCAATTAATCAATCACTCATAGCATTCATCAATATTTTACTACAATTCCATCAACCAATGAAACGAATGAATCATATGAATAAACTCAATTAAGCTTTTAAAATAAATAAACTAACATTCGATGCTATCAAATCATTTCATTCCAATTATTCTATTCTGAATGAGTCATCAATGATTTTGCTTTATTATCATTAATCCATCAATCACAACAATTATATTTTTTGCTTTGAAAAAAAAAAAAAAAAAAAAAAAAAAACGGAATAAGTGCTGAACAAAAAAGGTTGAAAAAATTTAATTTATAATATAGCTAAAAATAATTTATCATTAATTTATTTTATTACTAATTAATATTTGTAATAAATATTATTTTTCCTTTCTTTTTCCTTTGAATTCTATTGTTTTAAAAAATTATTTCCAAATTTTTACAAAATATTTTGTTGCATATTTAGTAGATGTCGAGAAAAGCGTGGGCGTAGTGCACTGGAATAAATAAATGAAATAGTAGAAAAAATGAGAAATGAAAATGTTTTTGGATAGCGAAATGAATTGAAGTGAATAAAAAAAAAGCAAAAACAAAAAACAATGTAAAGAATTGTTTTTTTTTTTTTTTTTTTTTAAAAAAAAATTGCTGAAATGAAAAGTTTATATAAAAAAATCATTTCAATCTGAATTTATTCTAATCCTTTTACATGTAATAAGGAAATGAAAAATGAATGTGATAAAAATAAAAAAAAAATAATAAAAATTGATTTATTCTAAAATATTTTCAAATTAAAATGATTAATTAAAATCTTACAAAACTATCAATAATGAATTATTTTAATCATAAAATAATCATAATTATTTAGAGTTAATTATTTTGTTTATGGTATTAAAGATAACATTTTTATCAGTAAAAAAAAAAAAAAAAAAATATCATATAAATCATTTGATGATAGTTTAATTGCAACGATATATATACATTTCGATATGCAATATATATAATTTATGCAAGTATGCATGCAAGAATGCATGCATACTTGCATAAATTATATTGAAATAAATATTATAGAAAAGCATCGGATAAAACTAAATTTGTATTTGAATAGTAAATTGCTGATAAATCGATGGCAAATTTGGTAATTTCAATATTTTCATATTATTCATACCTACCAATTTTACCTACCAAATTGAAATTACTGTCCTACATTATCATTCTTGTTAATTATTCCCATTTCATTGATTGTACTATTAATTCTATTTTCAAATTAATTCCAATCGTAATTTCATCACTTTAACACATTTTAATTTGCACTTTAACCCTTATTCATTCTTAATTCTCAGCATTTTTAAATATATATTAAGCTAATTTCTAAAATTTACAAATTATTTTACTTCCCTAATAATACTATAATAAATATCATTGCTTTCTTTTAATATAATTTTGGTACAAAAATGCGCAAAAAAGTTGATTTTTAATTAGTAATAAAATGAGTGATAAGATAATATGATAATATAATTATGATATATACTAGCAATGATTGATATGCAATTATTTTGCTTCGTAAACTTGAACACAATGATACTATTAATTAATTGGCAGTAGTACTATTTATATTTATAGTGATAATATTATCAATGTCAAAGTAATATCGATGATAACGATAATAATACTAATCAAGTTTATTGGCCGAATGTTAATAAATTAGATCTAATCTATTTATCAATAAGGTAAATGTCATTGTCAACCAAGAAATTGCTAACTTATCTATTAATTTCAACTACATTTCATTGATCGAATAGTTGCAAATATTTAATTTTATATTTTAATAAATTATTTGAAAATGTCACAAATTTTTTAAGGTTTCAATTTTTATATAACATTTCGGGCAGTGAAATTAAATGGTAAAAGATAATCATTTATCCTTTTTTTTTTAATTTAATTCTTCTTTTATTCGTTCTTTTATTTATTTATTTATTTTTTTTTTTCACTCTTTTTTCTTTTTCTTTTCCCTCTCTTTCTTCACTCATATAATTTTAGTATGCATTCTTTTTTTTTTTTTTTTTTTGCTGTTTCTTGTCAAATTAAATTTAAATCTAAATTATTATTTTTTATAAATTTAAAATTTTATCTGATATTTTTGGTTCTATCTTTAAGTAAATATTGCATAACATTTAAAATCATTCAGGTGGAATTTTTCAAAAAGCATATATTTCCTTCCTGATGATATTCTAAGCCTTATTATTTATAATAATAGCACTTTTGAATTTGGCCTAGATGATATTGGCCATATTTATTGGCCAAGTATTTCAATATTTTCATAATAAAATCATTTATATATGCATTTCTAAAATATTTCGCTTAATTTACTAAATAAATATTATTGATATAATTTTTTTTTTCACATTTTTTCATCAATACAATAAAATTTAATCGTTTGAAATTTTCAGTTTTCATTGAAATAAAATGAATAATTATCGTAATTAGAGCATAGAAAATATTTCTGTGATCTGAAAAATCATCGAGAGTAGCGTTATTTGTGAAATAATTTATCATATCTGTCCATTTGTAATCTTATCACATATCATTGAAATTAATTTTTCAACAATTTATTGGATGAAATTTAATCGTAACACTTGTTGCTTTAATTAATGAACAATTAAAATAAATGAAATAACAAAAATATCACAAAATAAATTACATTGGTTTTCTGCTTTATTTTTTCTCATTTTCTATTTCTTGTCATTTTGTTTCTTTCAAATTTTATTTTAAATGAAATAAATTATTAAATGTTTGAAGCAAATTTGCTTTTAACATGAAAAAAAAAAAAACATATATTAAAATGAAATTTTCAAAAAAATATGTTTTTTTTTTTCTGAAGTTTTTCAACAATATAATTTTATTATATGATTTTATATGTTTAATTAAATAATAAACAAATAATATAAAACACATTGTGTCATACATTTAATTTTGCTTTTTTTTTTTTTTTTTTTTTTTTTTTTATTCATATGTTTATTTTCAACATTTAAATTTAATTCAAAAAAATATTGGGCAAAGATTTTGTATAATTTTAATAATAGAATAATTTGATTTATTTTTTTTTTCCTGCAATAACTTTTTCCATTTTTATCAATTATTTTTATTCGTTATCATTATGTTTGAGAGATTTTAATGAATTTAATAATTTTTAATAAATTACTGATATTTTCGTTTTTTTTTTTTTTTTGTTTTTCTTTTTGCTAACGATTAATTTTGAAATTTATAAAAAATAAAATAAAAAATGAAAAATGATAGCATTATTTTTGGTTTTTGTATTGCAATAAAAATATACAATTAACTTCAAATCAATGTATTTTTTTTTTTTTTTTTTTTGTTAAATTTTTTCTTTTCTAAATAATCGTTTTCAATACAAAATTTTATATTATTTTTGAGAAATTAAAATAATACAAATTATTGTTTATCAATAATTTTTATGCATAATATATAAATTATTATTGTCATTGTTTACAATAAAATGATTAATTAATAAAACATAGAGCAATCACTAATTATTCAAAAATGTAAACAAATATTTTTTTGTTCATAAATTAAAACAAAAAAAAAAAAAAGAATGGAAAACTGGTCTGTGATATCACAGTTACATTTGTCACACAAATGAATGTCCTTTTCCAGAATACATTCTTATATTTTTTCAAATTTAAACAAGATTTTTATAGCATCGTATTTTTTTTTTTTTTGCTTTGTTTTTTTTTTAAAAAAAAACGAAGAAAAATTGTGGCAATAAATGATTTTGAATTATTCATATATAAATTAACTTTTTATTTCATAGTTTTACTTTAATTTCAATTTTGCTTTTTAATTTAATTGAAACATATTTCATTTATTTCTTTTCTTTTTTTTTTTTTTTTTTTTTTATTTTTTTGAAGGTATTATTTTGGCAATAGCGAAAATTTATCAATCGAATTTCTGATGTTGGATTATAATCGTTGGATATATTTAATTCTTTTAATTAATATAATTAAATTTGTTTTTTCACGAACAATTACATGCCAACCTGGTGGATATCCAAATAATCTTAGTAAGTTTTATTTAAATTTGCTTAAATTATTCATAGATTAATTTTTTTTTTTTTTTTCAGAAAAAAAGTTGAAATATTAATTTTTTTTCTTTGTAATAATATTATTTATTCATTGTCTTTCTTTTCATTACTTTTTTCATTTTAAATTTAACGATAAAATTATAAACAAGAGTACAAGATTAAAAAAATTTTATGAATGACATTTCTTTTATTTTTTTTTTTCTTTAGATGACATTAAATTTTAAATTTTATCAAATTGAGTGATAAAATGATAAGAATGCATGATTGTCTTATTTAATTTGTTCGTTGCTATTAACTTATTTAACTCTAAAAAAATTTGCTAAAGTGAAATTTAATTTCGTTTTTTTTTTTTTTTTTTTTCTTTTTTTGAAATTAAAAAATTACTAAATGATAATATTTCAGTACCAGTAATGATATGGACAAAAGATATAAATCAAACAACAAAAATTTATCGTATTGGTGGCAGCGAGTTGAAAAATAAATATTTCACAAATACTAATTTTAGTTCAAATGAAATATTTTTAAATAATGGAAATCCAACAGCTTGTCCAAAGCATTGTGCTTTTAAATTATCTACAAATATACGATCCATTGATGGTTTAATAGTTCATTTTTTCTTTTTTTTTTTTTTTTTAAATCGTTCTTTCTTTATTCAAAATTACTAAAATTTTTTTTTTCATTTTATTAGAAATATTTTTTTTTTTTTAAAAAAAAAAACAAAAGATAAAAATGTGATTTTGTAAAATTTTAAATTATAATATAAAAATTTATCTTATTTCAATTTTGACAATAATTCAGGTGTTGTACTTCATCAAGATAATAAGGGACGAGCACCGCCACCTGGTTTCATGGATTTTAATGAAACTGAAGAATTATTTTGCGCTCGATCATTTGGTGATTGTGGCGCTAAAGCACCAATTTATCGATATCGGAATAGAAATCAACTAACAAAAACTAATGGTAAAAAAAAAAAAAAAAAACAATTTTTCATTTTTTAAACTAAAAATTATAAGTTAGAATTTCAAATTAAATTTAAATCATTTTTCTTCTTTTTTTTTTTTTTTTTTTTTCATTAATCATTTTTACATTTTTATTTTTTGTTTTGTAATTTATAGGATATGCATATTCATTTCGTGCTAATCAATTAATTAATGGTTACATTCGTGAACTTAATCCAATCTGTTATGGATGGAAAGATAGTAGTAATAAATTTAATGATAATGAAATTATCGATGGTAAAGATCCAACAGATTGTGTGCTAATTCCAAATATACCAAATGGACAGGTAATTTGTAATATTCTTTTTTTTTATTCAAAATTTTTTTCAAAAATTTGTGATATTTTTATTATTTTTTTTTAGCAATAATATTTTTATTTTAATTTTATGCATTTATTTACAATTTGTTTTTTTCGTTTTCTTTAAATAATAAAATTGTTATATTGAATGATTTGATGAAATAAATAAATAAATAAATAAATCAAATTTTGAAATTATAATTAATTATAAAAATTTTTTGATTAAAAATTAATGATATATTTGCAAAAAAAATAATAAATATTTTAAAGATACTTTATAAGCCATCAGAAATATCGGAAAATTCGGAGACAGTAATGATGGGAAGCTTTGCGACATTACATTGTAATGAAGGCTATAAACCAACAACACAAAATCAGGTAGCATGTATCACCGGTACATGGTATCCGATGGTTGAACTTGGTGAATGTGTACCAATTTCTACCGGTGCATATCTTTTTATTTTTTATAAAATTCAAAATTTAATTTATCAAAATTTTCATGAATCTTAAAATTTCCAAAAAAAAAAAATTAATTTATTAAAATTAAAAATAAAAACTTAACTATTCAATTACTTTATTAATTTGTTATGCTTTTTTTTTTTTTTGTTAACATTAAATTGGCTAATTTTTTTTTTTTTTTGTGTTTATAAGAAAATTAAAAATTTTAGAAATAGCAAAAAGTTGTGCACCATTACCACCACATGAAAATGGTTATATTTTGTATAGTCAGCATGGTACTGATAAATTACCAAATGGTACATTAGCATATCTAAGATGCAATGGACACTATCGTCCATTATTTACCAGACAATCGCAATGTGACCATGGTCAGTGGTCAACCTTAAAACTTGGAATTTGTCAATTAATTACCAACAACAGTTGTTCACCACTTCCATTTGTACAAAATGGAAAGGTTTGCAAATTGTAAATTTGATAAATGATCAAAGAATATTTAATTTAACCTCTCTCTCTCTTTCTCTTTCTCTTTCTCCTTGTCTCCCTATCATTTTATTTTTCCTTTAATGAAATTTTTGTGTAACATTTTTAATTAATAATTTTTTTTCTTTGTTGAAACTTTCTGCTAAAAATATTTCTAATGCTAGTTCAAATATTCATAATTAATAAGAAAATTATGCAAATTAGAGATTTATTTTAAGTTCAAAATGATGTTACCGTTTTTTTTTTTTTTATATATAAAATATTAAAAAATTTCTAATTGCTGCTTAAATTTAATTTAAATTTACTCATAATTTAATTCTACTCCTTTTTGCATTTATATAATATTAAATGATTATAAATAAAATTATTACTTAATGTGAAAAGGAAAGTTGTTAAAATGAAATAATTTTAAAGATTATTTATTTAATGGGCAATGAAACTAATATAACAACCGGAACAGTTGCTGAACTGAAATGTCCACCGGAATATGCTATTAATGGTATCGATACACTGATATGTGAATCAAATGGTTGGTCACCTGCTTCAACTCTTGGAACTTGTCAAAAGGTATGTGTCACAGTTGCATTGTTAGCTGTTAGGTAAACAATTTTTTTAATAACAAAAATAAAAATAGATGAAATGAATAGGAGAAATAAGAAATAATAAAAGTAGAAATAAAATATTCAAATAATTTTCATTATTTAACATATTCTGATAGGTAGAAAGATTAAAACAATTAGAAAGGTTTATGTTAAAAATCCGGAATGATTAAAAAAAATATAGATGAAAAAGCCGGAATCATTTCAAAAATGCAGGTGAAAAGACCGGAATGATTTGAAAATATAGGTGAAAAAGCCGGAATTATTTCAAAAAAACAGGTGAAAAAACCGGGAATGATTTGAAAATGTACGGTTTGAAAATATAGGTGAAAAGACCGGAACGATTAGAAAAAAACAGGTGAAAAATGGATGAACAGCTCTAAAATGATTAAAAAAGAAGGAAAGGTGTGGAATAATTACTGAATACCTGTAATTGTTGTAATTTTATTCTTGAAATCCAATGATTTCGTTTTTTCCTTTTTTTTTTTTTTTTTTTAATTTCTTTTTCTTTTAGGATATCAAACAAAGTGATCAACGAGAGAAACGACAGGTTTAATTTTTTCTTTCTTTTTTTATTAGATTATCAGTAGTACAGCAATATTCTGTAATACATTCTAATACAATTTTTTATCAAAAAAAAAAAATTAAATTATTTTATTAAATTTTAGATCTAAAATTTTTTGTTTCACTTTCCTTTTTTTTTTGTTCATTTTTTAGGAGATGAAAACATGTTCCAATGGTCATCCAATTGTTTCTAATGGTAAATTAGCATATTCAAATGAACCAAATATATTTGGAGCTTATCCATCTGAAACGATTGCAATTGTACGTTGCAATGATGGCTACACAATTTATGGTATATTTTTAGATGTAAAAAGTTATTCGCATAATTAATTTATTAATTTTTTCAAAAATTTTGCTTTTTTGTTTTTTTCTTATCTTTTTAATATTTCAATTCAAATCATAAACAATACATAGGCTAAGTTAGATAAATAGTTCAAAGTGAAATATCACAAATTTAATTTTTGAAAAATTTTTATTTGTTATAAGTTTTATTTTTAAAAAATTTATATTTGTCAACATTTGAGATATTAAAATGTCATTGCTAATATAATGTGATAATCTTTGCTAAAAATTATATTTAAATTTCTTCTCAATTATTTTGATCTTTCATTTTTTTTTTTTTTTTTTACAAAAATAGGAAAGCAGAAAGTTTGAGTATGTTTTTTCTTTCAAACAAAATTGTTATATTTAGGTGCGCTTTTGTCAGTATGTCAAGATTCTATTTGGAAACCACCAAATTTAGGAGTATGTATTCCCTCATCAACAGCTGCGTCAATTTCACCCAAAAATTCATGTTTATTTGGATTATTAACTCCAATTGGTGGTACCATAACTTATAATAAAGGTTTAAATTAATCATTTACTTCTTTTGAAAGTTTTAAATTTTCTATAATTTCATGATCGCCCACTTAATTGAAGTTAATTTTTATTTAATAGGTGGCGCATTTGGACCATTTCCGCCTGGTACCATAGCTAAGTTAAAATGTGTAAATGGTATCTCACATGGACCAGCGTTAGCTGTTTGTGATAATGGTTCATGGATTCCTCATCAAATGGGTCAATGTTCATTGTCAAATTTCGAAAATTCCTCAATTATTCGTTAGTTTCATTTAAATTTTTTTTTAATTTAAAAAATGAAATTTGAAATTTAATAATCAATTAAATGGTTAATAATGAACGAAATTGTATAATATTTTGCTAGTTTTTTTTGAGAAAACTGTCATAAAATTTTATTCAGTGAAAAAATTCGAAAAACTTTTTCAGAAAAATTAAAGCTCGAGATTGCATCTTTTCATTTTAACTTTAGTAAGGTTACCCAAAAATGATCTACCCATCTAATTTAATAGCAAAGTATTTTCAGACTTTGTTTTTTTTTACGAAAAGTTGAAATGGGATTATTGTGAGTTTTATCTTAATAGCACTTTGAATTATCTATCAAAAATTTAAATTTTGCCAAAAAAAAAAAAAAGAATGGAGGATAAAAGCTTTTCGGAGAAATTAGAAATGAATTAAAATTAAAAAAAAGAAAAAACAGAACTCATTAACCGATAGAAAAGTTATAAATATTAAAATTTCTCTAAATTACCTTTTTTAATGCTAAATTTAATAACAATTAGAAATGAAACACAAAAATAGATTTTCTTATCTGAAGCGGAAATGAATTAATTTAAATTCTTTTATTTTGTTTACAATCAGTGGAACATTTTTTTAAAAACAAATTTTAAAAAAACAAAACAAAAATTTCTCTTTCTTCCTTTGAGAAAGGGAAAAAAAGAGCAAATATCTATAAAATTAATGAAATGCATTATGATAAGATCAAAAATTTATTTACATGTTCAGTAATTTTTTTTTTTTCAGTTTGTTTTTGTTTTGTTTTTTAAATTTTTAAAAAAAAAAAGATTAGAAAAGTGATTAAATTGAAATTACTTTATCAAACAATTAAAGCGATTGAAATTTTCCAAAATTTTAAGCATATAAAATATGAAATAACGAAAATATTACTTACCTTATTAAGTGTTTTATTAGGTACCTTATTAGGTTACCTTATTAACTTACATTATTAAGTATTTTATTACGTTTCCAGCTCATTTAAAAATCATAAATTTTTTAATTAGTTCTTCAATTATTCATTATCATCAAATTCGTTTGATTAAAGTAATACAATAATAAAAAGCAATAGTTGAAGATTTGTTATTTGAGGTGTTTGGCGGTGAAATGTCGCAGTTAAAATTATTTTAAAATTCCTTTCTAAAATTTAAAATTGATTCTTTTAAAATTTCTTTTAAAATTAATTTTAATGACATCACAAGCGATTGAAGCATAACAGTTTTTCTCTTTATTATCATATTTTTTAAAATTTGAAAAATTTAAATTAATTAGTATCAGTACTAAAGCAATAAATAATTGAGAAAGTCAAAGGTTAACATTAAAAAATGATATTATCCAAATATTCACTTAATAGCAAAGTTTCATCACAATAAAATTTTAATATTTATCGAATATCTTCTTAAAATTATTAACAAAAAAAAGAAAAGAAAACATTCGGAAAATGTAATTTTATTCGAAAAATTTTTTTCAAATAAAAAAAAAAAAAAAAAATTTAAACAAGAAAAAGAAAATAATTTATATATTAAAATCTATACTAAAAATATTAAATTTTAATTAAAATGAAAGTTTTGCATTTAAATGAAATTAATAGTAAAATTTCAGAATCCGTTTCTAACTGTATGAATGATTATCCAGTACCAGAAAATGGTTTTGTTGTTTATTCAAACAATGCTAATAACCATCGGCCATTTGCGCCATTAACCAGAGCCAATGTACAATGCAATCCTGGCTATCTACCAATTGGCCCAATAATTGCAATTTGTCACAATGGAATTTGGTATCCATCGATGTCAACGCAATGTATTCGGTATAATAGTGGTAGTATGTGTTACTTTTTTAAATTTAATTTTTTTTTTTTAATTTACTTTTAAAAATACACCAAAAATACTTTTTTAATTTATTGTCAAAAATACAAAAAAAAAAAAAAAAAAAAGAAAAAAAGAGGAACATTTTAAAAACAAAAATTAAGTTAAAGTTAAGTTAAATCTATATGATACAATAAAATTAATTAATTAATATTTACGCAATATAAATTATATTTTAAAGAAAAAATGAAAAAAAAAAAATGAAAAGAAAATTCCATATGAAATTATTTTTCTTTTCTCAGACAATGATTTCATAGTAATTTTAAAATCTTCTTTTTTTTTTTTAAGTATTTTAAATGTTACAGGTTAATTACCTCATTAATAATTAACTTTGACAGGTAATTGTGTTACCGGTATAGCACCACCAATGAATGGTTATATTACCTATAGCACCGGTTCAAACAAAAGGCCATTTCCATCAGGAACGGTTGCAACTATCAGTTGTGATTATGGTTTTAAATCAGTTGGTGCAATTTCATCCACATGTTTAAATGGCATTTGGTCACCATTAGTACTGGGACAATGTGTTGACACAAAATCAAAACTTTTTGGTAGTATTTCATTTCCATACTTTAAATATTTTTTATTTTTATTACAAAATTTTTTTAACAAAATTAATATAAAATATATGTTTTTTTTTTCTTGCATTCAATATTTTTAAATACTTTTATTTTTACCAAAAAATTTTTAATAAATTAATGAAATATATTTTTGTATTTAATAAAATAGTTTCTTTTTTTTTTAAAAAATTTACAGGTGTACCAATTGAAAGTTCAATAAGTGTAACTGAAGCAAAATATTGTCCACCGCTTGTATCACCTATTAATGGACAAATATTTTATTCAAATAATTCAAAAATGGGGACATTTCCTAGTGGTACCATAGGTACCGTTATTTGCAATTCAAATTATATACCACTTGGCTTATCAACCGCTGTATGTACCAATGGTGTTTTTTCACCATTAATTTTAGCAAATTGTATACCGGAACCAAAAAATGTTGAAAGTATGAAAATTTTTTTTTTTTTTTAATTAAACAAATTTTAATTTTTCATTTTTTTTTCTAGTAAACAAAATTTCTTGCAACTTTTAATTATTAAATAAAAATTTCAAAAAAAAAAATTTTATTTTAATTTTTTCTAGAAAATTTCAGATTTATTACAAATTAAAGAATTACCATGCATACCGATACCAAAACGAACCAACGGTGAATTGAAATATTCAAATAGTATTGCACCTATATATAATTCAAAAACAACTGCAAATCTTGTATGCAACCTTGGTTTTGTTCCAATTGGTCCAATCGAGACAACCTGCATAAATGGTAACAATTTTTTTTTAATTTTAATTTTATTATTGAAAAAAGCAATTTAATTGAGAATTATTTAATTTGAATTAGAATTAATCAACAATAGAATTAACCAAATTTTAATTCATTATAATAATTAGATTTTTATAAAATGACAAGTTCAGATATTTTGTAATTGCAAAAAAAAAAATTTTTTTTAAAATATAACCTAAATACTTTAACATAACAAATATTTTTTGCTATGAAATAATTTAAAAATTGCTTCATTTTTTTAGGTCAATGGCAACCAACGTTAGGCTTTTGTCAACAAAGTATAATTGGTCCAGAAACAAGCCAAGTTTTTATTCCTGGCCAATGTCTATTTGAATTACCTGCTATAGCAAATGGAAACATTCGATATTCTGCCGTAATCTTTTATTCTAATTTAAAATTTAAATTAAATGAAATAAATTTTGTTATTTTGTTTTAATTAATTTATTATTACTTATATTAAACATTTACTGATAAGGCTAAAGTATCTTGCAAATATTAGCCAAGAAGAATAATGTTACTTGAAAATTTTTGATTAATTTTTTTTTTGAATTATTATTTTAGGAAAATATATTGCCACCATATAATAGTGGAACAACAGCGGTATTAATTTGCAATAGTGGTGCAACTCCAATAGGAACCAAATTATCAACCTGCATTAATGGATCGTGGAATCCACCGATATTAGGCCAATGTCCAATGAATGGTAGGTATAGGTAAATAAATTGAGTACCAAGAAGAATTTAAATTAATTTATTCATTTCAAATTTTTTGAATGTATAAAATTTTATTTCATCAATGTGCAGTAAATTGATTTTTCACCTTTTTTTTTTTGTTTTTACTTTAAGTTAAATAAAAAATAATTATGCAATTACTTCATTATGTATAAATAATGCTAACATTTACAAAATGTAAACTAATTGTTTATTGTTTATGTAAATTACATCACTATGACAATATTCAATAATAAATGATTTATAAATATTGCTACTTAATAGTGAAATTTAAATTTTAATTAATGATAGAATTTAAATTCTAAATGTTTAATAGTAGAATTTAAATTTTTAAAACATAAATATGGATTTAAAAAAAAAGAGGAAAGAAGATATTTCTTCTTTGGTAAACAAAAAAAAAAAAACAAAAGATTATAAATATTTTTATGAATAATACATTTCATTCTTTGATATTTCATAGTAATTAACTGTTCGATTAAGAAAATAAGATAATTTATGCATATTTCATAAAAAAAATAAATAAAGAAAGAAAAAGTGAATCAAAAATTCAAATTTTTTTTTTTATTTAAACTCAATTATATTTGCTTATTTAAAATTTTCACACTAACACACATACGCTTGCACAAAAAATTTAAATTTTATTCAATTTTTTTAAAAAATTTAAGAATGTTTCACATCACAAATTAGCTAATAATAACACATAACATTAGCTATTTTTATTTTATACTTAATTAATTAATAACACATCTTCTATATACTTTTTTTTGATCATAATTTATTATTTCAGGTCATGGTAGAGATTATTTACTATTTCAGGTTATGGTACAGATAATTTACTATTTCAGGTTATGATGGAGATTATTTACTATTTCAGGTTATGGTAGAGATAATTTGGGAATTAGATTAAAACAAAATACGCTAGCAACAATTACCTGTCCTACTTCGCCACCTGTTTCTAATGGAAAGGTAAATATTTAGGCTAATTTTTTTTTCATTCTTTAAAATCAAATTTTAAAAATTTAAGGTAATTTTTTGTATTGTAATAGAATGTAAAATAAAAAAAGAAAAAAGATAAAATTAAAAAAAAAAAAAAAGATTAAACATTAAGGCTAATACAAACAAACGTAGAACAATTAGACTAAGACAAAAAACATTTGGATGAAAATTTATAATTTAATAATTTATAATATTTTTTCATAACATTTTTTCTTTAATTTATTTAAATTTGATAGAAATTAAATTTAAAATAATTTCAGATATATTATAGTAATATGAGTAAAAATGATAAATACGCAGCTAATACGATAGCAAATTTAATTTGTGATGATGGTTACGTATTAGTGGGACCGTCAACATCTTACTGTCAAGGTGGCATTTGGTCACCTTGGCCTGGTGTTGGTAGCTGTCAACCTTATGAACAAAACCAACAATATATTACAAATAAAATTAAACAAACGGATGTTTTTTGTTCTAAAATATCATTTACACCTGCAAATGGAATAGTTAGTATTTTCCCTTTTTTCATTAAAGAAAATGCTAATAAATATTACTGATCAAAGATAATTTTAAAATCTTAAAAAAAAAAAAAAAATGAAAGAAAAAAGCTTAATAAATCAAAATTTCAAGAATTTATCATTAAAATTAATAAATTTAACCATTTTAAATTCAACAAAGTTTAATCTAACTTTTGTTATTCTTTATTTTATAGATAATTTATAAAAATAATGAAAATACCAATTGGTATCAAAATGGCGCAAGCGCAAAATTACAATGTAATCCTGGCTATCAAATTTATGGTAAACAAATGACATATTGTCATGATGGCTTATGGATACCACCAATTGGAATTTGTCAACAAATTAAAATTAATGATTCTTGTGAACCATTAAAATCTCCACAAAATGGAAAGGTATATTCTTTTAGTATATTTTAACTTTTTGTTTTTTCTTACATTTTAAATTATTGAAATTATTTTAATCATAATTTTATAATTTCTATTCTTTTATATTTCTTTTTATTACAATAATATACGAAAATGCTTTTAATTTTTAATTTTTCTTCTTATAAACTATTATTTGATCAAAAGAAATTTGCATAAAACTTCAAAAGAAAAAAACGACTAATTCTTCTTTTTTTTTTTTTTTTTTTGTTCTTTGGATAGATAATAGTTCGTAAGGATAGACATTAAAGTAATTAGTATAGTAAAGTAATTAGTATAGTAAATAGTTAATAAAGTATTTTCAGGTTTACTACATTTACAACAATTACACAAAAGATTATCAAATCGGTACGACGGCTATTTTAAGCTGCCGGAAAGGATATCGGATAGAAGGTGTGACAACATTAATATGTAACAATAATGGTTGGACACCAAATGATGGTTTTGGAATTTGCATTCCTGTTGATAACATTTTCCGGAAACACTGATAATGATAATAATATGAATGTAATATTCTGAAACTTTCACAGTAGGTCAGAGATCATTTATGATATCAATTTTAATTGTGGAAAATTTCAAGTTATTTATCATAAATGTAAATTATTTTTTCGATTAAATATTCAATTACTTAGAGTTATTTAGGTTATGATCAAAATTTAGTAATCTTTTTAAGTATGTAATTTATTTGAAAAGAAAACTGAAAATTTTTTGGATTAAATTAATTTATATCACAAATACCAATGAAATTTTTACACAAAATCCATTACTGATAGATGTCATTTCGTAGTTTAAAATTACATAACTTTTATTTAAAAAAAAAAAAAAAAAAAAAGAGAAAAGAAAACTTTCGTTTTAGCTTCAATTGTTGATTTTAAATTAATTTATTTGTAAAATAATCAAAAATATATTTTGAATTAAAAAAATATAATTTCGATTGTTTTTCGTTATTTCATTTTTCAGTAATTGTTTGTTATTGAAATTCATTGAGAAACGAATTTGAAGAACAAAGTAAAATGAAGAAATTAGAAAAAATATGGTAAAGTCTTTTTTTTCTTTTTTTTTTTTACGTTCACGTTGAAATTATCATTTGCATTTTGCCTTATTTGAAAGCTTTTCACTCTCATCAACAAATACTAATAATGCACAGAATGATTTGCATGCAACTTTTTACGTAATACAATATGACGTAAATACTATAACGTGATACACGTGTTATAAACTAATTCCAATCAATACGTCTAAAGATAGCTATAGTTAATTTTTTTCTCCTTGAATAGAATTTTTAATTTTTAAAAATGTAAAGCAAACAAAAATTGAAATTTTTATTCAAAGTTAAGAAAATTTCAGAAAAAAAAAATGAAAAATTAAAAAAAAAAAGTTTTTTTTTTTTTCATTGTATTTTATTTATGAAATAAATAAAGCATATTAATTTGACTTCATTAAATTAATCATATTAATTATGCTAAATTGTTTACATAAAAGAGAAATTGGTTAATAAATGTAATGCATTCCATTATTTTTTCTTTTTGCTTCGATTTTGTTTTAATTTAATTATTTCAAAATTTGATATTTACACTGAATGCATATTGGACAATAATAAACAGCGAAAATAAATAACAAAATGTGTAATATACAACAAAAATAACAAAAAAACAAATAAAATTGAGCATAATGCTAATAAATAAAACATATAATAAATTAGCTATGACTCATATCTCATAAGTAAATTTAAATTTTAAATTTGATATAAATGTTTGAAGGAAAGATGATAATGACAGAGAAATATTTATTTTAGTAATGGAATACAATATAATTTAAGAAATATTAACAAAAAATTCAATTCAAAAATTCTTTTAGACTTGCAAAATTACTTTTTTGATTACAATTTCTTTTTTCTTTTTTATAATAAATTTTGATTATATAATTTTTTTTTTCTTTTTTTTATAATTTTTTATAACAGTTTAAATTAATTGATAATTGAAAATGATAATTTGTGGGTTCAAATTTGATAAAATCATGAATAATTCATTTGTTTATAACCAACAAAAATTGAAAATATTTTAGATTTTAATCATTTAAAAGAAAAAGTTTTACTATAATTTTAATCAAATTTAAAAATTAAAGTAAATTGACAAATCATTAAAGCAATTATATACCTGCGAAATTGAAAAATTAAATATCGATCTGTAATACTTGTTAACTTTAATCAATAAATCATAACAGAATAGTAAATGAAATATAATTTGATTCAAAGTTTACTTTTATATGTTTATTGAAAATTAAACAAATTAAATAATTAAAATTTAAAATAATCTTAACTTTTAATTTGAAGAAAATATTTAGTGTGAGAAAATAAAATTTTTTAGTATAAAGTTTAAAATTTAGTAAAAAAAAACAAATAATTACCATTGAATTTAATAATTCAATTAATTGCTATCACGTAGAATGTTTTAATATTATTATAGTTTATTTGACCTTTTGAAAATATCTCACTAAGGTCAAAATGCCATATGCTATTAAAATGCATATTCCCGAGATAATAAAAATAATTCTTATCCATCTAACATATTTTGGGATTAATATTAAATTAGTAAAAAACATCTTGAAGAAATCATCGGAAAGTTCACCGTGCACTCGAATTAAAATCATTGGTGTCATCAAATTTGGCAATCGAGTTGCAATCCTACAAAAATAAAATTTTTATTTACATTTTGTATTTTTTGAAAAAATACAAATTAAAATTTCACAGTATATTTCTATTAATTGTTCCATTACTGTAATTTCAAAATTAAAATTTGGAAAATTTTATGAGATATATAATAAATTTTAATTGCACTCAAATTACTGTGATTGATAAACAAATTGTTATTGTTGAAATATTATTTTAAAATTTAAAAAAGGGAGAGAGAAAGAGAGAGAGAGTAAAACTTACGTTGATTCATTTGTTTGAAACATAGGAAATGATATCATTAGTTGAATATTAATTTGCATCAGTAATCCTGTCAACTGCGGGGGAAAAAAAAATGTTAAAATTAAAAAATTTCAATATTTCTATATTTTTTTAAATTTTACATTTTAAAAATGTAAGATAACTATTCATAATGGCAATATAACTAATTTCTGATTTTGAGATGAAAAAAAAAAAATTATTAAAAATCTGATATTTACCGGTTCTCGAGTAAATGTAAATGTTGACGGTTTAACATTGAATTGTGGAAATCCAATTACCGAATTAATAACTTCTTTTGGAGAGTAAGAAAAATAAGGTGGTGATATGATTGCTGACATTGGTAATGTCTCATTTTTGCCTAAATTAAAAAATTAAATGTGTATTTTGGTTTAATTTGCAATGATAATTTACACTTTCAAATTTTTAAAAGTGAAATTTTGAATTTACATTTTAATTTTAAGTTATTTAAAAAATACTGTAATTTTAGCCTTCATAATATAACAAAATGCTAAAAGTGCAAAAATGATGTTAAAAACGAATTAACGATGAATCTGAAAATTGCAAAATTAAAAATGGCAAAAAAAAGTAATTATTTTAAAAAGTTAAAGTAAGAAATTTAACATTGCTGAAATGATTTGGTAGTGAAGGTATCAAATATAGCAAAAATAATAGGTATTACGTATTACTTTAAACATAAGAGAAAAGATACCCGGGAAACAGACAAGCGGGAACATTCCGGGAGGTAATAGGTAAGTTCCATCTACATAATTCCCTTTGCAACAGTGATGACATAAATTTTGCTCTAATAAACAATTAATACTTATATTTGAACATGGAGTAAAGTTATTACTTCTTGTCATTCTGAAATTTTACAAAAATTACCCAAAATTAGTTTTAATAATTCAATGAAATGCAACAAAATATTAAGCTGAAGAAATGAATTAATCTGAAATAAAATACTAAAAATGGACCAAATGATTAATTTCATATCAATTACTTATAACAAAATAATTGGATGTCACAATTTCATATAATAGATAATTTCAGTTTTTCAAAATTTCCATTTCAAATCATACAGTTTAAATTTATTTGAATTAGAAATGTAAATTGCTTCTTACTTTGAGCATGGATTCCATTCCGGAAAATATTTGATTTGTTCAAGATTACGATATCGGAAACCGATACGTTCATTACTAATTGTATCAAATTCATCTTGTGGAACCGTAAATTCTACACTTTTCATTTTTTTATAAGTGGAATGTTTAGAAAATTCTGCGACAAATGATCTAAAAAACGTATAAGAAACAGAAATAAATAACTTATAAATTTTATTTTCTTTTTAAAAAAAAAATCAGTTTAATTAGTTTATTATTAGTTTAAGCAATTTCGTTTAATTTAAAAGTTTTAAAAAAATACTAATATGAAATTAAAACAAAAAAATGACCGTACCGACACAAAAATGAGCTGAAAAATGGAAGAATACTACTGGACGTTAAATGAAACGGTGCAAAACTTCCGGTATCTAAAATTTAAAATTATTTTACCAAAAAAAAAAAAAAAAAAATTTTTTTGAAAAAGAAATTTTAAAAATAAAGTTTTCATTTTTCTGCAAAGAGATCAATCTGATTATTAGTAATACATATACTTTGTTGTGAAAATATAAATTAAGAAAATTTCACTTTTTACTTTTTTATACTTCCACTTTAAACATCATCTTCATATTCAATAAATATGCAATTTTTAGTAAAATTTCACAAATTTAAGAAAATGTAATAATTTTAAATTTAAATTAAAAAAATTTCAAATTAAACTAAAACGAGTGACCAGTTCCATTGATCATTCGAGCTTGCCTAGTTTGCCACCATGATAATTGTAAATGATTGGATCCAGCCCAATTTTGAATTGCACCAATTGAATTAATATCTTTCTTACCCGTTTCAATAATATAATCTTCATCATTCGAATTATTAAGCTGAATACGTAAAAGTTTACGTAAAGTTTTACGTGAACTTTTACAAAAACTTACATCAACGATAGAAAACAAAAATTAACGAAATGATGGAGAAAGGAAGCATTGAATTATTCTAATGAAGAAATAATTTAGGGTTATTAAGTATCTTAAAATTTTATTCAATAATTATGATTAGTAATCATTTTAATAATGAAATATTTAATTGTTTCATTGTTTAGTTTAGACTTTTTGTTTTTGTTTTTTTTTGTTTTTTTTTTTAAAAAAAGGGTAAATATAAAATGAAAATTGTGACTAACATAAATATTTTTCTTTATTTAAATATATGAAAAATTTTTTTTTAAGAAAATGACAAATACATACTCTGTAAAATAATGCCAAATTTTTTAAATGAGGAATTTTGAGTGGAATAATTGGTTTACCATTGTTAAATTTGTCACCAAAATATTTGAAAATGGGTGAATTTGTGAGCGAAAGCAATGCATCGTTGTATCCATAAAATGTAACATTCAATGGTTTTAGTCTTCTGAATACAATTTTTTTCTCTTTTTTTTTTTTTTTGATTTAATTTTTTTTAATTTTAGTAATTAGAAAAATTAGTGAAATATTTATTATTTGGTAGTGTAAAATTTATAGAAATTTGATGACAGTTTAATCATACCGAAAAGGATATTCGCCCATAAGAAGCAAACCGATGTCAATTATTAAGCGACAAGTTGGACCGCATTCTTTCTCTTCAATCATTGTTGTTATCGCTCCCTCAATTGTATCTTTTCAAATTTTTTATTATAAAAAAAAAAAATAGAAAAATAAAATTTACTTAAAAGTGAGAAAAGAAAAATTATGGAAAATCAATTACTTCATCAAATGAATTTGGTCAGTGTTCGAAAAATTTTAGCATTAAATTATTCTTTCTTAGAATTTCTGAATAATAGTAGCAAATAATAATAATAAAAGTAAATAATTTAAGGTCTAAAATTAATTCATAACTAATTATTAATTCATTCTTAAAAAGAGTTCGAATAAAGCTTGCAAACAATGATATCGTATTGTACAACCACCTTAAAGCAGAATTTCTAAATTATTCCTAAAAGCTACAAAAAGTGGAAATCCTAAATTATTCTTAAAGGTGACAAAAAATAGAATTAAGAAATGAGACAGAAGAAGTACCAATGCTGCGACATTAGGAAGTATCAATTCCGGATTGTCGCGACACGAAGGACATGACATGTTCGGTTCATAAAAGTATTGTTTGTAACTTTTGTAATAAACTGTATTGCCATCTTTGCTAAATTTTAAATCTTTCTTTGTTTCTGTCATCCTAAAAGATTAATAATTAGCATTGTTAGTTGGCTTAAAATAAATTCACATTAAACGAATGACAGAATTTTCAAATGTTAGAACATACATTTAATATTATTTCATCCTATTCAATTATTTAATTAATTAAAAATAATGATATACCGAAAAGAAAAAACTCCTTTTTCGGTGACATTTGGTTTTGCTGTATAATATTGCACCTGCAATTTGATAAAAATGCAATAATTATGTGAAATTTAGCATATTTTTAAAAATCAAAAAATATATGAAATTCGGAAAATATATTTGTATTTACATTCATTTGATAGAGATTAAAATGCTAAATGTACGAAAAACAATGTTTACAGTTAGCTAATCGTAAACAATGCTAATTGCATTTTATTAATTTCAAAGAAAGGTAAATATGATTGTGAGACGAAAATTTCTGTTCATTCTACTCGAAATAATCTTTGATCTTCAAACATAGCTTACACATACGTAGCAAATTAAAATACATCCACGTATACTCACGCCAATGTAACTTATACCACGTCTAGCACGTCAAAGCATTTTTATTAACACGTTTGCTTTAATATACCTCACATTTACGTATCACAATGCTCACATTTCTTTCCGTCACTCACTTACTTTTCACACGTTTCACAACGTTTTTTTCTCTGTTGGTATTTTTCTCTCTTCGACGTCAATTCACTCACGCATTTCAATTCCGTCAAAAAAAAAAAAAACTTTGACGTTTTATTTTGAGGTAAATTATTTGTGAGAGTGATTACCTGGCGTATTTCATCGTTTCAATGAATGTATAATTAATTGAAAAAGATTTGAAACCTGTTGGCTGTTAGTGATGTTGAAAAAAGTGAAAGACATTGTGACATCTATGGGTGGCTTAGCCCATAGCATACTAGAAGATGACAATTGACCATGGTCAGTAATTTTTAGTACCATATTCTAAATTGAAATCATTTCTTAGAATACCTGTTGAAATATAATTTTAGGTTTTAGGTAAATCAAATTATTAATTTAATCTAATTTGATTAGTCCTTCATATATAATAAAATTATTTTTTTTTTTTTAAATTCTTTTTATTTCAATTGATTTTACTATCCATTGATTGCAAATTTGGATGAATGATATTTGAAATAACTGAGATTAGGCTTATTTCAATTTTTTCAAAATTTATTTTCTCAATTTTGCTGAATAACTTTTTTCTTCTACTAACTACTAACAATAAATAATACTGTTGTTAATTTAATTAAACCTTGTTTTTAAAAAAATAAATTTTTGCAATTTTTTATTTGATATTTCTTAACTTCAATTATTTAATCTAATATTTTATATTATTTAACATTCCAAAATGTTTCAAATTTTTTTTTCCATTAATTCAGAAAATGAAAATATGACATGCAATATTTTGAAATGAATAAATTCAATTCAAATTTTAGGTAGAAAATATTTCTCAAAACTGTTATCAAAAAGAAAATATTACAGTAATAAAAATAGAAAAACTTTTTTTTAACTTAAAAGATAATGATCTTACTTATGTGTAAAGGTATTATCAAGGTAATGTTACTTATATGTTAAGGCACTATCAAAGTAATGTTACTTATGTATTAAGGCATTATCAAAGTAATGCTACTTATATGTTAAGGCATTATCAAAGTAATTTTATCCATTATATTCTTAGATTTTTTTTTTTTTTTGCTTGAAATTTTCAACGAATTAATATTTTAAAATAACAATTCGATTTTCATTTAATCAATTAAAACATCCATTCAAAATAATTATTATATACTTATTATTTCATTATTATTACTAAAAATATTTTTGCTTTCTTCCTCATTTTTTCTTTCTTATTTTATTTTAATTTAATATATGAGAAATAAACTTACTGAAATTAAAATAGCATTGAATAATGGAGTAAAAATAATCCATAAAAGAATTGAAATAGTAATGAAAATAATTGCAAGAATGAAGAAAAAACGAAAGATTGTGCAGCAACGACAATAATTTATTATCATTTTTATGTTTTCATAGAAATGAATGACACTTTCAATTTATTTTTAATTTAAACAAAACTAAAGTATTAACATTGACTATTTGCTTATACATATAGTCAACGTTATCATTTCATATATTGATAATGCATTGATAAGATGTATATGCAGAAAAACTCCTAACATTCTTAATGCTTATCACAATTAAAATTTTACCTTCTATATTATCACAAAAAATTTGAAAGTTAAAAAGTGAGAAATAAGTAATTTGATATTATGCACTAAAATTTTTTAAAAAAATAAAAGAGATAACAAATGAAAATTTAATTTTCAATTTTAATTTTTTTAAAAATCATAGAATATTGATGGTAAAAATTCTAATGAAAGTTAAAAATTACATTATTTATACTCTTTTTTATTGCCGCTCTTTTTCTTATTAATATTATATTTTCAAATAAATAATAATTATTTACAATGTTTGCTACTAATTGTTTTAACTTCAAGAATTTATAATATTTTATTTTGATTTTTTCTGTAGAAATAAAAATTTCAATAATTAAAATTTCAGAAACTGTAACAGTTTGCAATGAAGCATTAGAAATATTTGTTTCGTTGACATCTATTTAATACAAAAAATGCTTATTTTAATTGTTAGCTAATTTTTTTTTCCCTCACAAAGTTTGTTTAAATTAAATTTTAAAATGCAACTTAAAATTCATTCCACAGTATTTCATTGTTATGGATAATAAAACTTTAAATGAATTATTATACAATAATTTAGATAAAAGTTAATGTCAAAAAAAAAATTTAATATTGTACAAATATTTCAATTTTTTTTCTTTCAATTTAAAAAAAAAAAAAAACGAAATTTCTTTCAATAGATTAATTAAATTATATTATTAACAATGATTTATAACATTCAATATCGAAATATATGATTGAAAGAGTTTTGAATTTCGCAGTTAAAAAAAAAATTGACGCATTTATTTAAAAATGCATAAATATGATTAAATGTTAGATAAAATTAATTAATTTAAGTTTATCTTTTTTAAATTAATCATTAGATAAGCAAACTGTCGCATAAAATGGTTAACTGATAGATAGCTTATCAATTTGATATACAATGGATAAAATATTTTAAAATAAGTATGATACTTTGCTAAAATACTCCTTGATATTTACTGTCTCATAATTACTGAATGTAAAATAGCAAATAAAATGAATAAATAAAATATCCAAAAAAAAAAAAAAAAAAATTTAATAAATAAAATTAAAAAAAAAGAATTTTGCCTTTTTATTATCTTAATCAAATTTAGCTTAAATTAAATTTTATTTTTTGATATAATGCGATTAATTTTTCTCCTCTAATGTACAACAATTATTTAATAAACAAATTTAAATTCGCTATTATGACAGAATCAATTTAAATTTAAATTGATCGATATAACACGACCAGTTTAATTTCTTTTAAAATTTCAAACTCTTTCTGTTCATTTTTCTTCTTTTTTTTTTTTCTGCCATATTAAATATATTGTAAGATGAAAGAAATTAACGTCAATATCTATCAGAATGAATGATTATTTCAAAAATGATAAAATAATTTTTGAAAAAAAAAAAAAAATTTTTTTTTTTTTCTTAAAGTATGTCAAAAAGAAACTTTCGTTAGTTTTTCCTTGTTCCGTTTTTTTTTTTTCTCCATTTTTATTTTAAAAAATTTTCATCTGAAATTTATTTTTTATGTATGAATGCGTTCCACTTTCTTTTTTCTCAAATGTTAAATGTATTTTTCACTGATTGTTTAAGTATAATTCTCAAATTTGATCTGAAAATTCCCGCAATTTCTCATCTAATTCTGATCTTTTCGCCTTTTTTTTTTCTTAATTTTATCATTTTCACGTTTAAATTTTAATTATTTAATACAAATTGTGCGTTTTTTTTTTTTTTTTTGCTTTTTGCTTTATTTTTTCGTTTTTTTAAAAAATTATATAACAAATTCAAAAGTTTTGTCCTTCTACCAAATAAAATTTTTTTGTAATAAAATAAATTTATATATTTGAAATATTCTTTTATTAGTAAGTAAATTAAATATTTTTTTAAAAATAGACAGATGAATAGTATCATCTTTTCAGCAATTGCAAATTTTTGCAGTTTTTTTTTCCTTCCTCAGAAAAGGAATGTCACCAAAAATACTTCAATTATAATTTATTCATTTTTTTTTTCACTTAGTTAAAATTTTTTTTTTTAAGTTCTAAATTTTGATTTTTGTAAAAGTAGCATTCAATTAAAAAGTATTTAGTGTTTTCTATGCATATTTGATGATAAGAGGAAAATTTTTTTGTTTAATATTTTATTTATTATAATCTGACGACAAAATGCGCCATTCTAATTCGTTTGCTAATATTTTGTAAAAATGTTAAGTTTGTTGAACTAAAATTTGTAAAACTTGCAATGATGAATATTTATGGTATTGTCAAACTAATTTTGATAATTTTTATTTTTTATTAAATTTTATTAAAATTAATTTCTTTTTTATTAGAATTAATTTTTTATTAAACATTTTAACAAATTTGAATTTAAACTATTTTATTTACAAAAATAATTTTAAGCTCTCATTTTTTTTTTTTTTTTGATCCACTTCAATGTTATCATATCAGTTATCAATTATTATTGGTTAATTTCTTAAAATTATTAGCTATTGAAGTTATGCTAACAAAAAAACTTTTTATCTTTCCTAAAACATCCAATCATTCCAAATATGTAAACTTTTTTAAAATTTATATTTCAATTTAAAAAAAAAAAAAAGCAGTAACACAGATTTTGCTATTGATTTAACTTATAGATGATACTGACTCAATTCATAAATAAGCCAGAAACTATGTGATACTTGTACCCTAGCTAGGCTGGCCCATATCTATATAC